TTTTTTTAAACAAAAAATGCAAATTTTGAAAATGTTGCTATTTTGCCTGATCCCTGGTTTTCCAGATCCTGGGCCCAAGTGGCCTCCCCAGGGGCCAGGGACCAGGCAAAATAGCAGAATTGCTTTAAATATTAAAATTTAAAAAACTTGTGCTATTTTGCCTGATCCCTGGTTTTCCAGATCCTGGGCCCAAGTGGCCTCCCCAGGGGCCAGGGACCAGAATCTGGCCCCCTGGGGGGGCCCAGAAGCGTCCGCGCACTTCCCAAGACGGGCAGAGACGGCATCCGAGGAGCCCCGAGAAGGCCCGAGAGTTCGCAAAACAGTTAGCTTTGCTTCGCGCGGGCCAACACGACCCCAAGAGGGCCCCAGGAGGGTTCCCAGGGGGGGGTCCTGGGGGGTCCCCGCGTTATAAATTCATGGAAAGTATCGAGGATTTGTGTGCCGGAAGCTGAGATCTTACGGCACGCAATTTCGTCGGCGGCGCAGAGCGCCCAAGACGGCCCAGGAGGCCCCCAAGTCCGCCTCAAGACGACCCAGGGAGGCCCCAAGAGGCACCCAAGAGGCCCCAAGAGGCCCCCCCAAACTCCCAAGAACCCCAGGAAATTGCCCAAAGGCGTCCACAACCCTCCCCAAGAGTGCCCTAAAAGGCCCCCGAGACGCCCCAAGAGGTTCCGATGAGGCCTCAAGAGGAGCCCAAGAGGCTGCAAGAGTCCCCGAAGAGCCCCGAGAGGCGCCAAGAGGCTTTCAAGATGCCCTGACGAGGCCCTGAAGACGCCACCAAGGGCCCCCGAGAAGGTTTCCAAGAGGCCACCAGGAGGGCCCCCCCCACAAGGCTTCCAAGAGACCGCCGCCGCCGCCGTCGTCGTCGTCGTCTTCGTCGTCGTCGTCGCCGTCGTCGTCGTCGTCGTCGTCGTCGTGGTCGTGGTCGTGTTCGTGGTCCTGGTCGTGGTCGTGGTGGTGGTCGTCGTCGTCGGAGGAGGAGGAGGAGGAGGACGACGAGGAGGAGTGTTTCACAAACCCCATACATGTCAGCCATGCAAGCATCAGCACCATCGACGAGGCCCTGAAGACGCCATCAAGGGCCCCCAAGAAGGTTTCCAAGAGGCCACCAGGAGGGCCCCCCACAAGGTTTCCAAGAGGATTCCAAGGGGGAAAACGGTTTTAAGTGTCCCACAATTGGTTTAACTGTTTTAAGACATTGCAGTTATCAGTACGTATATATACATACATAATATTTTATAATGTATATATATATACATACACATATATATGTGTATATATATGTGTATGTATGTATGTATGTATGTATGTATGTATATGTAAATGTAAATGTAAATGTATATGTATATGTATATGTATATGTATATGTATATGTGTATGTGTATGCATGTATGTATGTATGTATGTATGTATGTATGAATGTATGTATGTATGTATGTATGTATGTATGCATGTATGCATGTTTGTGTGTATGTATGCGTGTATGTGTGTGTATGTATGTATGTATGTATGTATGTATGTATGTGTGTGTGCATGTATGTATGTATGTATGTATGTATGTATGTATGTATGTATGTGTGTATGTATGTATGTATGTATGTATGTATGTATGTATGTATGTATGTATGTATGTATGTATGTATGTCTTGTACATGTTTTATTTGAACAGATATGCATATACAATGAATGCAATATTTGTGTGTGAACATGCATATAGCTTGATCCACAGAGGATTGGGAGGAGGATGGGGAGGATGATGGGAGATGAGGAGGAGGAGGAGGAGGAAAAGGAAGGTGAGGAAGAGGAGAACGGTGGCTGCTTTGGAGCTGCAAAGGGCTCCTGTGGGGCCTTTTTCGGGGTGCCTCCTGGGCCGTATGACGGAGTCTTTGGTGGGGGGCGTGGGGTGTCTTGGGGGCCTTTCTGGGTGGGCCGTTCCTGACCGTTTGGGAGGGCCCTGGGGGCTTCGGAGGGCCCGTCCGAACGGAGGGCGGGGGGGGGAGGGGGGCGAGGGAGGGCGGCTGGGAAGTGACGCTGGTCGTCGCGACGGAGGAGGGAGGGGGAGGGGGAGGGGGAGGCTTCGACCCGCTCACGAAGGGGGATCTTTCACGTCGTGCGCCTCCCCCGGTGGAGGCAGGAGCGCAGCGCCCCTTTCTAGGCCTCCTGGATGGGGTCGGAGAGGCAGGAGAGGGGAGAGGGGGGGGATGAGGCAGGAGAGGGGAGAGGCACAGCCGGGGGCAACGATGCAGAGGGGGGGGACAGGCTCAGGGGAGAGCGCGTCGACCCCACCATCGCCCACTCAGCGCCGGCAGTCGATCGGGTCGCGCGGAAGGGGGGGTTTTTGGCCAATGGGGGGGGGTCGGACTTTGAGATGCCTGCTGCTGGTCCGTCGCGCCGCGCAGCGGAGCTGCGCTCGCTGCCCCAGGAGCGCCGACTCTCCCTTCGCCGCAAGTCGGGCCCGTCCCTCTGAAAGGGGGAATGTTCAAAAATAGTTTTTTGAAAAAATGTCTGGGGACTACTTTTTGAATATGTTTGGTCATCTTGTTGAGTATGTCTTGACTCTGTTTTTTTTTCGTCTAAAATCCCCCTGTAGGGGGACAGGCCAACCTTCGCCCTCCCACTCTTCTCGTCTCCAGCCCTCTACCTTCGCGGCTTCGCCCGAGCGTGTCCGGGCGAAGGCACAAATGCGACGCCTGAAGCACGGGCAGGCGCGACGCTTGCTGCACCCAGCTGGGCGTTCTCCTTGAGCAGCGGGTGGCCCGCGATCAACGACGCCGCCCAGCTGGGTGCAGCAAACTCTCAGGGCCAACCAGCTACAGCAGCTGATCACGGACCTGTTTTTGCATGTTTAATGTAGATGTTCGGCGTAGCTCCGTCGAGATGTTCGTCGAGGAGCGATAGTTACATGCAGCTGTCTCGGGCACCAAACTGGCTCCATGCAGCCAGGTCGGCGCAGCACCAGCTGCATGTGGCCAGTTTCCCCGCAGGATCGGCTCCATATAGCCGGCCAGACACGGAGGAGGAACACCCGACCATGGTTGCCACACCCAGGAGGTGTTGCCATTAGCTAAAAAAGTGTACGCACTAACCTGAAGTTCGCAAATCCTCAACCCTGCCCTTTCCTATCCGACCCTTTCGCGCGGCCCGAGCCTAGGCCTCCCAGGTAGGGTCCGAGCAGATGGTGTCGGAGGGTCGCGCCGCATCGCTGATGCGTCCCCGATGCGGCTCGATGTGGAGCCCGAGTTTCTTTGCGCGACGTCGCCGGTACATCGCCGATGCATTGGCAACGCAGCGCGAATTTCCGACCCCATCTGCTCGGAACCCATTGGGGCTGCTTCTAGACAGCGGCCTATCGCCGATCGATCGGCGATTCATCGCCGATTCAAGTTTGATGTTTCTGAGCCAGCCCCCCCTACCGCTCCCCCGCAGAAGGAGGAGGGGGGGGGGGCAGGGGGGATGCGAGAGGAGAGGGGAGAGAGGCAAGGCAGGTGCGCTCGCGGTGCAGCTGGCGCCCTACTCCTCCATCCGACTCCTGCCCGTTGCGCATAGATTGGTATGCTCATTGGACATGGTGTTCGATTGGACCTTCATATTTAAGGTGACGTCTGCAGTGCTTGCCCTGCTGCTAACTGCGCGAAGGGAGGACGGGCAACATATAGATGGTGGACGACGAGGCGATACGCACAACCGAGCTGCGCCGTGCTCGGAGCAGACAAATTGATGCCGAGGCCTCATCGCGCATCCGACGCAGAGCACAAGGCAAGGAAGAGGTTGAAAGGGGCTGGGACTGACAGGGAGAAGGAGAGGAAGGCGAGGAGGGGAGACTAGGAGGATATAGAGGGACTATGAAGATAGAGAGGAGGGGAAGAGGGTGGAGGAAAAGGGGAGGGGAAGGAAGGTAGAGGAAAAGGGGAGGAGACGAGAAGGAGAGGGAGGGGATTGGGAGGGAGGAGGAGGAGGAGGAGAAGGAGGAGGAGACGGGGGAGGAGGAGGAGGGGGAGGAGGAGGGATGGAGGAGGAGGCAGAGAAAGAAGGGGGAAGAGGAGGAGGGAAAAGAGGAGGAGGAGGCGGAGGGAGGAGGAGGAGGAGGGGGAGGAGGAGGAGGAGGATCCAGCGGCATGCCCCAGCGGGCCGTGGCCTCGGGGGGCGCCCGGGGAGGCCTGAAGCCTCGATGCCCTCGAGGGTCCACGACGTCGGCGACCGTCCCGGGAGCCGGCGGCCCGCCGGGGCCCGCGAGTCGCCGCGCGGGGCGCACGGTGCATGAGCTCCTGCCTCCGTGGAGAAGGCTGCGCGGGAGGGGCGCGGGCAAACCTGCAGCGTGCGGGGGGGAGATAGAGAGAGAGAGAGAGAGAAAGAAAGAGAGAGAGAGAGAGAGAGAAAAAAGAGAGAGAGAGAGAGAGGGGAGCGCGTCGGGGCTTCGCGGGCTGGGGCGAGGCCCAGGGGTTCAGGGCGAGGCCCGGGGGGGGCGGGGGCCTCACCACCACGGCCACGGAGGGCGGAGTGGTGGAGGTGGGGAGGGAGGCGGAGGGAGGCCTTGCGGCCGGCTGCGCCAGGACAAACAAGGCGACAGCCAATTCTTTATTCGTGCAGCACACTTGGTGCAAGGGCCTCTGCACGCACAGTCTGGAAGCATCGGTGACAGAAAAGGTGCCACTGGTCAAGGACACGTGCAAGGATAAGGTCGGGGAAGAGGAGGGGGAGGAGGAGCAGGAAAAGGATGAGGAGGAGGAGGAGGAGGAGGAGGAGGTGGATGAGGAGGGATGAGGGGGGGGGGCCTTCTCTCTCTCTCAGCCTCTATCTGTCTCTCTCTCTCTCTCTCTCTCCTTCTCTCCGTATCTCTCACCCTCGCTCTCTCTCTCTCTCTCTCTTTTTTTCTCTCTCTCTCTCTCTCTCTCTCTCTCTCTCTTAGATATATACATTCATATACATATATATATATATATATGTATACACAGACCTCCTCCCCATTCGATGTGCCGTTCGCCGCGACCCTCCCCAACAAGGAGTGGGTGCTCCTCCAGATGACCATCGCCACCGTGGAGAGCTGCGAGGCTCTGGGCGGCTACAGCCACGGCTGGCAGTCGAGATTCACATCTCTCCTTTTCTCCCCCACAGGAGGAGAAGAGAGTAGACAAAGGGTGGAGGAAGAGCAGAAGAAGGGTGCGCCCTCCGTCTCCCTCCTGTCGTCCCCCCTCCCCCCGCATCGCCCTTCTCCCCTCCTCCTCCTCCTCCTCCTCCTCCTCCTCCTCCTCCTCCTCCTCCTCCTTCACGTCCTCTTCCCCATCTCAAGCCCCCCCTCTTCCCACCTTCTCCCTCTCTTCCTCCCTCCCAAGTCAAGAGGTTGACTGGGACTGTACATCACCTGGGACGGGCAAGACGCGCATGGACGACGTCTTCGCCAACAGCAAGGGTAGAGAACTCGTCACCGCCTGTTGCCCTGCTCCGTGATCTCTCCACCAAGCATCGTCTCGGGCTCCCTGTACCGCTTGATTTCGATGTTGCTAGGCATCCAGCGAGGAGAACGAAGAGCGTAGATCAGCACCCGCTCGCGTACCCGACTGCGAACTGGGACGATCAACGACCCCTTGGAGACCGCGTCGAATACTCCCTCCGTGCTCGGACGGACGAGGCTGACGCAGCCAACGACGTGGACAAACTCTCTGACCTCGCCAACAGGCGGCACACGCCTTACACACCGAGGTCCGCTAAAGAAGTCCACCGCAATACCAAGGCAGACCGCACAAAGAACTGACCAAGCATGGCAAAACACCACGTTTCCAAGAAGCATGCGCCGCCCCTCTTGTCCACCCAGAGGACGCTGAGGCAAACCGCACTACGATCGCTCTCGATAATTTGCGGCGCCATTTCACAACGGAAAAAAAAACGTTTGGGACAGCATAATGCCTGGCACCGCAGACAGGCATCAGCCATCCTCAAGTGTGGGAACGCGTAAAGCGCACATGGCTTGCAGCTAGAGTCCTTGCCCAAAGGCCACGACCCACCTGCCTCACGGATCTCCCACGCGTGGAACCCAGATGAGTTCCCCACCGACCTGCATCTGGATGACCTTATCGCCGCCACAGTGGCGCAGCTGAGAAGGTGTAGCCAAAGGGACAGGGCCAATCGCATCACGGCCTGGCAAGCCGAAGGAGAGCCAAGGACGGAGATATGGCGAACAATTGGTGGATCAAAACGGCTGATAACTCCAGTCCGATCTACCGGCATACACCGGACAGCGGGCCCCCTCATTCGCCACGAGGCACGTGGGCGACGGCAAGTCAGCAAGAAGGTGGGCCCCCCTTTCCGATCGTCAGTCACCAGACTCACAGGTAGGAAGCGGTGATGCATTCACCCCTCCCCCTCCTGAATCTGCCACAGCCCCTCCGAGCCGAAGAAGCAAAACCAAATCCTGGCAGATACGAGAGCCATGCTAAAGTTCACGACAATCACTTGGAAGGAGCGCTGTCTGCCGCCCAGCACGGGAGGGGGTCCCCCCCGGACCATTCTCCGGGGGGGCGTCCAGATCCAGAGAGCCCTCCCCCCCAGGAAAATTGCTCGAGGCGTCCAGAACCCACCCCCCCCCCCGGCAACGACGACGGCGACGATGAAGACGACGCCGACGACGCCGACAACGACGACGACAACGACGACGAAGACGACGACGACGACGACGACGACGACGACGACGACGACAACGAATACGACGAAGACGACGAGGACGACAACGACGACGACGACGACGAGCAGAGCAGAGTCGACGTAGAGTAGAACGTCGTAAGATAGAGCGGGCGTAGAGTAGAGCATCGTAGGAGTAGATTGAAGTAGGGTAGGGTAGAGTACACCCGAGCAGAGTGGGATGGGATACGCAGGGGTCGAGTAGGGTAGGGTAGAGTAAACTAGAGTAGAGTAGAAGAGAGTAGAGAAGGTCAGAATAGAGTAGAGTAGAGTAGAGTAGAGTAGAATAGAGTAGAGTTTGGAGGTGTAGAACATATGAGAACAGAGTAGAGCCGAGTAGAGAAGAGTAGATGAGTAGAGCAGAGCAGGAATAAGGTAGAGTAGAGCTGACTTGAGGAGAGTCAGAGTACAGTAGAGTAGAGTAGAGTAGAGTAGGAGCAAAGTAGAGTAGAGCACAGCATTCAAGGGTAAGATAGGGTAGAGCAGAGTAGAGTAGAGGAGTGTACCGTAGAGTAGAGCAGGGCACAGCAGAGCAAAAAAGGGTGGAGCAGAAGAGGACAGAGCACAGCAGGACCCGAGCAGGATCTGGATCGAGCCCCAGTTGCATTCTATCTGAGCCCGCGCCTGGCGTGGGCGCCGGCGACAGGTGCGCCGCCGCCGCTGACGCTGCCGCCGACGTCGGCAACGTTGGAAGCGTCGCTGCCGTCGTTGCCGGGGGGTGGGGGGGGGTCGGGTCCTGGACCCTCCGAATGACTTCGCGGGGGGGGGCGGGCGGGGGGAGGGTTCTCGAGCCCCCCGCGTGATTTCCCCCGCGGGGGGGGTGGGGGAGGGGTCCTGGGCCCCCCCCCCGTTCCTTGCGGGGGGGAGGGGGCTGGTTTCTGCCCCCCCCCCCTTAGGTTTTTTTAATTTCAGGAGGGGGGCGGGGCTTGGTTTCTGACCCCGCCGATCCGAATGTTTCAGGCCAGCGACGGCGGATCGTGCTCCCTCGGCACTTGGGAACCGATGTTGGGCATGCACTGGCAGACAGGAGCCCTGACAGCCATGCATCGCACGGGGAAAGTTCCCGATCCCCTCCTCCACGTTTCGAACCCTTGCCTTCGGAAAGGGACAGGGGGATTTACCACTGACCAACGGTTGCTCTCACTCATGTCCACATGGGCGCACGCGTGGGAAGCACCAGCCCACCGTAGTTCAGCATCGTGGAGAGCTTGCTGGACCCACCCAACGAGCTTCGGTGCGGCGCCGCACGCCACCATCGGAGATGTCGGCACCACTTTGGCAATACAGGTGGAGCATGCCCGATATCTCCGGGCGCCGCTGGCCATGGCCGCGCTCGACAGGCAGAAGTGATTCGATTGCTTCGCTATGGACATTTGTCTTTAACCTGGCGCTACATGCGAGATTCCCGCCGGACACCGTTCAATTCAAAACAAAGTCTTGCGATAAGGGCCTCATCCTAAACCCTTGGCGCGCACCAGCGGCCGCCTTCAAGGTAGCTTCTTTTCTATCGACGACGTCGAACTGCTGATGTGCGCCTGGGTCAATAGAGCACCAACGCGCGCCACGATCCTTGAGCACAACGCTCGTCGACCACAGTAATTCCACCGCGCCCGCGACCAGGGAGCTCTAACAAGTATCAGTTGACGAGATTGTCTTCTTCGACCGCCTCCCAGGCTAAAAGATCCACCCTGGCAAAGTCGTTGGCTGGGCAATTGGCGAAGAGCTTCGTCGCCAGGCGGCGGCTCTCCAACTAAACGGACACCCGCTGCAAGATCACCACCAAGCGAAGCATGTGGGAAGGCGCATCAACGTGGCACCGGTCGCGGACGATGCCAACCTGAATATGGCGCCCACCGCCGACGCCAGAGTCCGACGTGATATCGTCGGACGCCCACATATAGGACGCCTTCGCAAAGGTATCCATGCTCGCGCCCGCTCAGTCATACCCCTCGCTGCTAGCGCGTGCGCCACTGGTACCAGCGCCCATGCCCCCAGCACGAGAGCGCGCAACCTCTACAATAAACTCAACGTTAGCCGCCATTCGCCTGGGCCCTCCACGCTCTCGGCTTCCCCGGGCATGCCGTTGAGCTGGGTACCATCGCGCAAAGAGAAGCCCTTCTCGGGCTGCGGAGGCAGACGCGGAGAAACACCAATCGCACCGCTAAAGCCGAAGTGTTGCGTGACCACGCGCAGACTTTCCAAGGAGGTGGCCCAGTTGGCAGAGACTGGCAAACCGATGCCCAACTGGAATGGAGCTGGACATCCTTCGGCACGATGGATGACGATTGGGGACCCCGCCTTCCATGGTTACACCTACCATTCGGATTGTTCTGCCAGATGCTCCGGGAAGCCCATTCTCCGACGCATCATGACCACCAGATGCGACTTGGACGCTGTCGCCGCGGTCAAACAAGGCGCCAATTATTTCGCAAACACATGGCTACAGCGAACCAATGGCAAAGCCAAATGCACTGCCTGGCAGTGCTGGCTCCTCCCCAACTACCACTGCGGCGGTGAACACACCCAGCGGAGGAAAGTCCGCGCGGGCATCTACGCCGACCCATCACCGCCGCGCAGATGGCGCGACCAAGAGGAAGAAACTCAGGGACGCGCGGCCTGGAAATGCCGCGCTGGGAGTCGAAAGGGGCCGCTTCGAAAAGCAAGCCCATTGATCAGGAATGGATAGGCCCCCCGCCTCACACAGGGCACTGCGGGCTGCCTGAGGAAGACCCGCAGCAGGTGGACCTCAAGGCCACCTTGAGCGTGGGACGAGCTCCCACAGCCCATTCCGCGACCTCTTCCCGAGGGTCCCGAAGAGGATCTGTTCGTGGAATACACAGACAACGACGCGGGGGCCGGGTGGGCACACGCGGCCGCTGACGGAGCCTGCACGCACGAGGCCCACCCGCTCCCTGCCAGGGCCAGTTTCGGCGTCCACTACGCGCCTGACCACAGGCGAAACGTTCCGGCTCGGGTGCGCGGCTTGGCCCAGCCCGCGCGCAACGCGCTGAGGGCCTTGCCCTGCTCCACCCGGCGGTTGCTGCCAGCGGCCTGTCCGCATTTTCGTGGGCAGCCAAGCCGTCGTCGACGGATTTGAGCCCCCCTCGAAGGACAGCCGCCGCAAGTCACAGGGGCCCAGGCCGACCCTTGGCACAGAATCCATCGCGTGCCGCAAGCCAAACCTGATAGTTCGAGGCCGGGCATGTCGAAAGTCAATCGGCGAGCAAAGCACACATGGAGGCCGCAACACGCCGGTCGCACAGGCTTCTAACCGCCGCGCCGATGAACTCGCCACAGCCGGAGCGCGTCTGCACACCCCGCAGCAGGACGTCATCGACGGAGCCTTGTGGCGACACTACTCCGCGGCGTCTTCCGCAGCGCCGCTGTCGCGATGTATGACAGTCGCCACCACGCGGTGCCCTTGCCAGACAGACGCGCGGGTCTACTCTTGGGCTGAACTCAGCAAGATGGGGCCCAACCCGCTCACCATAGGACAAGGAAGTGGTGAGCCACTAGGCAAACCTGCCGACCCCTCGCAACCGCAAGGCCCACCAGGGCTGGACTTCTGCGACGATCTCGACGACCCATGGGTCGCCCCCTTCGACGACTTCCGCGGCGCAGACGAGGACCCAATGGGGCCCGGTGCGGCCTGGAACAACGGCGGCGAAACCATTGCTAATCCATCAGGAGGTCACGATCGCGCCGGGCACGACGCCGACTACGAAAGCACAGGCCAGCGTCAGCAAAGGCACTCGGGCGCGGTGCTTCAGAGGGCGGAAGTCCGTTAGGACCCCGCCTCCGCGGCCACGCCCCCTGGCAACCAGGTCGCGTCACCCTCCCGCCTGAGCACGGGGAAAGGCGACCGCCCTACCACCCAGGAGGGAGTGGGCACCGGTGGAAGACCAATGCAGCGAACGAATTTCAGGCACGCCCTCGTGCAGCACCTCATGGCTGCCAGGCAACAGCCAGATCGGGAACGCGAAACGATTCTCATCGCTAGGACCACGGCGTTGCAACAACGCACCATTAACCTCGCGCAGACCCAACGCACCATCCAGGAGCAGTCGAGCCCGCTGCTGCACATGTTCCAACAAGCTCAGTCCGCCTGGAACGACCTGCAACAGGCTTCCCGTCCGGCCGCATCTTTCGGGGTCACCTCCCAGGGAGGTTTCCAGGCGCACTTCGATGCTCACCGCCAGCTCACCAGCCGCCAGCTCACCAGTTCTAGTTTTTCTTTCTCGGGTGCACGGCGAAATCAACTGGCAACTGTTCCGAGGCATTTGCAGTCGGCCGCCGCGGGGGATGCCCCAAGGCGGCGCCACGGTTCACTGAGGTACCGAGGCGCACATGCCAAACCGCCCTTGAAGCTGGCGCCGAATGCTCGGGTGTGCAGACGGGCCGTGTCACGCCCTGATCGCCACAGACCCGTTTTTCGTTCCAGACGGGGTCCCCTACACATCTCGCCAGTGGGGAGGGTGTTGCTCCCCACCCCTGTTTGTTTTGCGGCACCTCCCGCCAGTGCGAGGTAGGCCTGAGCAGCAGTCGAGCCCCGCTGGGCCTGGACGACATGCCGTCCGAACTTTGGCGCCCTCCTCCTCCTCACTCACACACTCGCTCCGCTCTCCCTCCCTCCTTCCTTGTCTTCCTCCTTCCGCATCCCCCCTTCCATGCCATGGTCCATGTTCTCGCCGCCCTCCGCAGCCTCCTCATCCTACTCCTGGTCCTCCAAAAAAGGACGGGTGTGAATCTCCTCGTCGCTGTGGCCCTGGCCGACCCCAGAGGTGGGGGGCGTGCCTGTGGAGTTCGAGCCGGGGAAGCCGGTGGGAGACAAGGCTTCGGCAATTCGTCTTCGTCGTCACGAACGGGTGTCTCCGCTTGCTCAGTCATCCTGCTCATAAGCTCCTTCCTCTCCTAGTTGAACACAGGTGCCCCCTCGCATCGAGCTCTTGTACGTGCGCCTGTGTACATTCAAATATGCGTTTAGGGTTATGGGGTGCTGTGGCCGACATGATTTTCATGTCGCTGCATCGCGTCCAACGTAATGCTGGCCGCGCGTGGGAATTCACGCGTCAGGATGGTTGGGGCGCCCTTACGTTGCTACCAATGTTTCGGGGCACGTGCGAGAGGTTTCTACCCATCTCGCTCGAGTTGTGCGCATTGATTCATAAGTTGGTTCTTCGTTGCCAATTTCTGCCGCTTCCGTCGCGCTCGCCCCGAGAGGAGCGGAGAGAATGCGGCTCCAGACCGCTCATCAAGGGACAGTGCATCTGCTTCGTTTGAAACGTGTGTGACAGAAGAGGGTTGCTGCGCACACTGCGCGCGAGACAACAAAAGTGATGTTCTCACACGGCTTCTACAGTGGAGACCCATGCCAAGAAACACCCTGCTTGCCTCCAGGGTGCCCTGGGTTTCTTGGGTGTCGATGGTTTTGCTGTCGAGAGGGTGGCGTTCCCACACCGAAAATCAATGGACGTCCTGGGGTCTCAGGGTTGGGCTTCTTGTGGAAGGTGTCTTGTGATCGAGCCCCTACTGTACCTCGAGCGAGCCTTTCGTACAGTCTGCTAGCGGGTCAGGGCACGACGCTCACAGATGTTCCATGCAGGATCGCGGGAGGGGTATACTTTTGTGGACCAGGAAAACAGGAAGCAGCGAGAGGAGAGGGCCCTGTTTGCCGATTCCTTGTTCCTTGTTTTGCCGATCTGCGCGGGCCCTTGCACCCCCCTCCCCCCCCCCATGGAGTAGATCTTGGTTGTTTTTCCCAACCATCCTGTGGTGTTGGGTCCTCGTTTTGAAGAGACGGTGCCCCGCGTTCCTCTCCTCCTCTCCTCTCCTCCTCCCTCTCCTTCCTCCTCCCTCCTCCCACCATCATCATCGTCATCATCATCATCATCATCGTTGTCGTCGTCGTCGTCATCATCACCGTCATCATCATCTTCGTCATAATCCTCGCGACCGTCCTCATCACCATCATCGTCATCATCATCGCAGTCATCACCACTATCTCCTCTCACACGCTTCGTGGCCCCATAGGGAGCTCCACCGAAGGCCCCAGTGCCGCCGCCCGCATGCGTCCCGCACACCCATTTCGGCACACCCTTCACACGTTTCGTGGCCCCATAGGGAGCTCCACCAAAGGCCCCAGTGCCGCCGCCCGCACGCGTCAGCCACACCCAATTCGGCACACCCCTCACACGTTTCGTGGCCCCATAGGGAGCTCCACCGAAGGCCCCAGTGCCGCCGCCCGCATGCGTCAGCCACACCCAATTCGGTACACCCCTCACACGTTTCGTTGCCCCATAGGGAGCTCCACCGAAGGCCCCAGTGCCGCCGCCCGCATGCGTCAGCCACACGAAGTTCGGCACACCCCTCACACGCTTCGTGGCCCCATAGGGAGCTCCACCGAAGGCCCCAGTGCCGCCGCCCGCATGCGTCAGCCACACCCAATTCGGCACACCCCTCACACGCTTTCGTGGCCCCATAGGGAGCTCCACCGAAGGCCCCAGTGCCGCCGCCCGCATGCGTCAGCCACACCCAATTCGGCACACCCCTCACACGTTTCGTGGCCCCATAGGGAGCTCCACCGAAGGCCCCAGTGCTGCCGCCTCAGGCGGCAGCTTCACCTGCCGCCGCCCGCATGCGTTTCTCACACGCATAGGGAGCTCCACCGAAGGCCCCAGTGCCGCCGCCCGCATGCGTCAGCCACACCCAATTCGGCACACCCCTCACACGTTTCGTGGCCCCATAGGGAGCTCCACCGAAGGCCCCAGTGCCGCCGCCCGCATGCGTCAGCCCGCATGCGTCAGGAGAGCAAGAGGATGATTCATCGAGTGAGGAAGTACGTGGTCCGCGGGCTCACTTTCCTGAAGTCGTCCACCGCGATTCTCAGGTCGCTGACGCCGGCTGAGAGGCGCGCCAGCGTCGTGGTGGTCGAGCGTTAGATCTCCTGCTCATGCGGGCGCCGCGCATCGAGTTCTTCCTGGCAGGGCCGCCGGAGGGCTTGCGAAGGCAGCTGGAGCAGTTTGCGGCGCGCACGAAGCGGTGCAGGAGGGAGGCGACGGCCCTCGCCAGGGAGCTCGGCTTCACCGAGTTTATCCGCGAGGCCTGACCTGAGGAGCGTCTCCCCCGAGCCGCGCCTTCTCTCGACTGCCCGACTAATTGTTTGGCCTCGCGCCGCGGACGACCCGCGCGCGTCGCTGGGACCCTCTCGGGGCGACCAGCGCGCGTCGCGGGAACTCCGTGCTGCGGGCCGCCCGGCTCCTTGTTCGCCTATCGTCGCTCTTCCCAGCGGTCAGAGATTTGCCCGCTATCAGCCAGCCAGTTAGCTCGCCAGCTCTCTCTGCTCCGCGCAGCGGACGACCCGCGCGCGTCGCTGGGACCCCGCCTGGAGCGACCGGCGCGCGTCGCGGGGACTCCGCGCTGCGCCGCGCCCGCAGCCTTGGATTTTTTGAATGCGCGGGCAAAGAGGGAGGAAAAGAACGGACGAAAGCGGGCGCGATCCTCGCAAGGGGCGCGCCGACATGGGGGTCGCGGCGTGCGGGCCCTGCCGCGGGGGTTCCCGCGGAAGCTGCCTGCGGCGGCCACGCCCAGTGTCACGAGTGTTCGGACAGGCATGCTCGAGCCAGTCACATTCATATACATTCACATTAGGCTTAGCCCTGATCGCATTCATGCAAATATACTCGCACGCAGACCCATTCACATTCAGACTCACTCGCGCCCTGACTCACCCGCGTTCATTCTTTCATAATCAAACCTATCGTATTCCTTTGCGTTGTGTACCCCGCCACAGTTCGGCACACCCCTCATACGGTTCGTGGCCCCATAGGGAGCGCCACCGAAGAAGATATTCACAATTGCGGTATTCGCAACTGCATATGGTTGGGTCCTTCGCCAGGCTAATTTTGCGCCTGTTGCAAGCAGGCGGAGTCTCCCCCACAGGACGCACTGTTACAAACAGTCGCACCAAGCTGAGTTCCAGAGCCAGACGACCCCCCTCTTCCGCCCAATGTCGAAGCGCCGAATAAGAAGACGCTCACTACCCGGACCGAACGAGGTCTTAGCGCCGCGCAGATGTTCCCAGGGCAGTGCTTGTGCTTATCGTTCCGCATTTCTCTTCTAGGGAACTGGGGTTGATTGTCGGTCTGTCTGGCGTGTGGCCGCCCGTCTCCGCCGTCTTTGGTCATGCTTTGATGATGCACGGCTCGCGCTCTGCATTGCGTTTGCACTGGTTCGAATTGTTTCGCAATTGTTTGCATTGCGTTGCACTGCTCTGCATTGCTTAACATTTCCCAGTCAGAGCTTGCCTCTGTAGGCGTCCTAGCGGACTCATATGGTGAGGTTAGTTGCGTCGCCGATTTCGGCAGCACGCCCGGGTGCCCGGGTGCCCGGGAGCTGCGTTGCCGATTTCGGCGGCCTGCCCGGGTGCCTGGGTGCCCGCGTGCCCCATAGCCTTATAGTTTCATAGCCCTATAGCCCCATAGCCCTATAGCCCCATAGCCCTATAGCCATATAGCCATATAGCACTATAGCCCCATAGCCCTATAGCCTTGTAGCCCTATAGCCCTATAGCCCTATAGCCCTAAAGCCCTATAGCGTTATCCCCCTTATAGGCCTATGGCCCTATAAACCTATGGCCCTTCAGCCCTATAGACCTATAGACCTGTAGCCCTATAGCCCTATAGCCCTATAGCCCCATAGCCCTATAACCCTAGCCCTACATTTCTATAGCCCATATAGCCCTACAGCCCTAAAGCCCTAAAGGCCTTTAGCCCCATAGCACTACAGCCCTATAGCCATATAGCCCTGTGACCCTTCAGCCCCATAGCCATATAGCCCATATAGCCCAATAGCCCGAGCCCTTTTGCCCTATAGCCATGTAGCGCCCTATAGCCGTATAGCCCTACAGCTCCATAACCCAATAGCCGTATAGCCGTATAGCCATGTATAGCCCATAGCCTATAGCCATGTAGTGCCCTATAGCCGTATAGCCCTATAGCTGAAATCGCACGTGTGGCATTTGGGCACCCCTAGGTGGAGCCGCCAGTGGTGGGGACACTCCCCCGCTCGCGGCCAGATTGTGGGGATGTCTCAGGAGGTTAGCCTCTTTGGAGTCTCGGACTCCTTTGCTCTCAAAGCAGATGGTGAGGATGACTCGAGCTGGGCGCTGGCTTCAGCACCCTCAGGGGACCCGTCATTGGGCATGACACTCGCCCGTTGGCGGCCAGATTGCGGGGATGCCTCGAGCGAGGCGCTCGTTTGGCACCTCCAGCTCTTGCCCAGTCGAAGCCCCGTGATCACCTCGACGTGCGGACAAGCACGGCCGCCAGGGATGCGGAGGACGCAGGAGGAGGGAGAAGGGAGGATGTAGGAAAAGAAGGGAGGGGCCATGGCGAGCAGGAAGAGAAAGAAGAGGGGAGATGGGCGCCAAGGAGGGGGGGGCACCTGCGAGGGAGGAGGAGGAGGAGGAGGAGGAGGAGGAGGAGGAGGAGGAGGAGGAGGAGGAGGGAGGACGGCGGAGGAGGAATATGAGGAGTTGGTTTACTGGTGTATTGGTTGATTGATGCACAAAGGTGGAGGTACTTTTGGACCCCTCCCTGCAGCCGTCTTCGTTGGCCGAGGGGCTGCAGGGAGGTCCTCGGCCCCCTCCATTGGCTATTGACGCCGTAAAGTATTGGTGTATTGGTGTATTGGTGGGAGAGGGCGACCCCAGCGGCCCCTATGATGGCAGCCGCAGGGGGTGTAAGGCCTATGATGGTCCTCACTGGTGAGGCCGCACGAGGAGGAGGAAGGGAGGAGGACGCGCGAGGAGGGCGAAGGACGCCCAGCCAGGGAGGAGTAGGGAGGACGGCGGAGGAAGGAGGTGGACGCAGGAGGCAGGAGGGAAAGGGGAGGATGGAGGAAGAGAAGGGAGTCGAAGAAGAAAAACGCTGCAAATATGAATTTTTGGCGCTCCGCGCGGATCCCTTGGATCCGCGATGGGACCCCCTGGCTGCGCCTCCGGCGCCGCCCCTGGCGCGAGGGGGGCCCAGCGCAGATCGTAGAAACCCGTGCGGAGCGCCAAAAGTTGATGGTGATGCCGTTCTGTCCTCCTCTTGTAGGGAGAGGTTGCGGCGAGCAGGAGGAGGTAGGAGAGGGGAGGGGGGCCGCCAGGGAGGGGGGGCGCTTGCCAGTGAGGGCGAGGGAGGACGGCAGAGCAGAGGGGGCGAGGAGAAGGAGGAAGGGGGGATGCACGAGGAGGGAGAGGGGCGGTCTCAAGGGAGGAGGAGGGAGTGCGGAGGGGGAAGGAGGCAGACGCAGGAGGAGGGAGACGGGAGGAGGGAGGAAGAGAAGGGATGTAGTGTACGACGAGGAAGGCGAGGGGAATCGCCTGCTCACCGACTGTCTGTCTGTGAGTTGGTGTCGTCGTGGTCGGCGCTGGTCCCCTGTCGTAGCCGCCGCCGTCGTCGCCGTCGTACCCATCGTTCGCTCGGATTCATGCTCACACCCAGGCACTCACAGCCAGACACTCACAGCGCGACGTGCCAGGAAATGAGATGCACATCTGAGAATCTCCGTGTCAAGAAATTTAGAGTCTGACAGGTTTATTTGCATGGTACTCCCAGCTTCGCCACCGCCATTTCAAACAGCCCTTGGCCGAAAAGGCGTGCAAGTGGGTCCGGACTTGCGTGAACTCCAGATCTCCTTCTGGGCCTCGCCACGCCCCCCCCTCCACACAGGTGAGCTTGCCAGAATCCACAGAAGAACGGCCCCCATCCTCCTCCTCCCTATCCTCCTCCTCCTCCTCCTCCTCCTCCTCCTCCTCCTCCTCCTCCTCCTCCACCACCACCACCACGACCACCTCCTCCTCCTGCCTTCCCGCCTCCGCCGCCACCTCCTCCAGCCGCCCCGCCCCCGCCTCGGCGGGCCCGGCGCCCCCCCCCCCCCCGGGCGGCCCCCGGGGCCGGAGCGGCGATCCGCCGGAGGCCGCGGGGGCGGCCCCCCGCCGATGAGCGGCAGCGGCACTCCACGCGCGCATGGAGCGCGGCCGCGGCAGGGTCCTCTCGGGCGGGGCGAGAGGGGGGGGATTGGGAAAGGGGGGGTCACGAAATGTGCTGCATGCAGCTGGTTTCGGCTTCACCGAGGGGCCCATTCCTCGATACATGGCCGCCTCCGGCGCCGGGAGGCGCCGGGAAAATCGGCTACGTGAGCCGATTCTCAAACCCCCCCCTTTGCTATCCCCCCCTTTCGCCCGACCCGGTCCTCGGGCCGCGCGAGGGCGCGAGCCCGGGCAGGGGCGACGGCCCACAGGTTCTGGCGGAGGGAATCTGGGCTAACGTCGGGCCTGTCCCTGCACAGGAGGATTTGTTTCGAGAGCATCGTCTGTGGGGGCGATGTTGCTACTATTGTTGTTCAATGTTTTGCGTGTTTTTTTTGATACTTTGTACTTGTGGTCCAGAATCCGCCTGTAGGGGGACATGCCCGACCTAGTCCTAGATGAGGTCGGAGTAGGTGGGGTCGGAGGATCGCGCCGCATCGCCGATGCATCTCGGCGATGCGGCTCGATGTGGAGCCCGGTGTTCTCCACGCCGACGGCGCCGATGCACCGCCGACGTCGACGATGCATCGCCAGTGCATCACCGATGCATCGCCGATACACCGTCGATGCGGCGCCGATGCATCGCCGATGCATCGGCGATGCGGCGCGATCCTTCGACCCCATCTACTCGGACCCCATCTAGGAGGCCTCTAGGGAAGGGTTCAAGCAGCGGCGAAGCGTCCTGGTTTGCCAACAGGCCCACCAAATAATGTTCTGATAACCTCTTGTGGTCTGCACGAACTGTTCTTAGAACTCTTCTGGCAGATATTGTCCTGTTCTAGCACATCGGGTTTATGTTATCAGAAGACCGTTTTTTTCTGAATATATCTGCGTTCTAATCGCATGTCGTGGTAGGCCTATAGGAATGCCGGGACGGTCGGTCCCTGCTCATAGGGGTACCAATACCGCCACCCCATGTCATGTTTTCGCTCCTCTCCCTCCGCGGCGCTGCGCCGCAGGGGGGGACTCTGCGAGTGGAAGAAAAGGACAGGGAGGCCCACAGGGGGGGGGCCGGGAGCCCTAGATCGACCGGTTCGAAGCATCTTCACAACTGATTCGGGCATCGTGTTTTCGCCTCAGTGCCGGCTACATGTTCGGCCTGGACGGCCACGAGCCCTTGAAAAACACAGACGTTGAGGTGCACACGACCGTGTCTCGACACTCTGGCTCCTCGACCCGCCTCCTCGCTTCTGCTGCCATCTGGAGTACGCTGCGGCGTCTTCCCCACCATCTCGCATCATTGCGGAGGACGTGGCCCCCTTCCTCCTCCTCCGCCGCTTCCTCGTTCTCCTCCTCCTCCTCCTCCTCTTCCTCATCCTCCTCCTCCTCCTCCTCCTCCTCCTCCTCATCATCATCCTCCTCTTCCTCCTCCTCTCCTCCCCCTCCTCCCCCCGCGACTGTCTCGAGACACCGCCGGATTCGCCGCGAAACCCTGGTCTGGACGCAGCCCGTGAGAGGCCCGAGGAGCAGACGTGTCGCGGCATCGTGCGGTTTCCCCTCCCCAGGCGGCCTCGCGCGGCGACTCGCCGGTGCCGCGCGGCAGTTGGGGCCGGAGCGGCGCCGGCGGCGGGAGCCCCCCGCGAGGGGGGGGGATGGGGCTGATTGGAAGTCGGGCGTGTCCCTCTACAGGAGGGATATTCCGAAATGGTCCAAAGATACTATGGGGAGGATCGGTTTAGATAATTGTTGGATATTTGTTGTATATTGTTTGGAAATGTTTCATGTTTCCTCCAAAATCCGCCTGTAGGGGGACAGACCCGACCTAAGGCTAATTGCCTTGAGATCGGGGCGTTGCAATTTTGTCACACCAGCCGTTCTCGCCCAGCTTCGAGCCCTGACCATCACAGATCCACCTGGCTCGAAACGGGCCGCAGAAAGATGGTGACTGGGGCCCTGGCCGCGATGCGTTACGATGTTGCCATCTCTTCGCGCCGTCACCTCTCAGGGTTAGACGTGTTTGTCGGTTCTGGGAGGTTATCTGCCTCGGGGTGCGTTCTGGCAGCTGGTGATCGCTTTTTATTCATTGTTTTGCCGATCGGCGCAGGTCCCCAAACCCGCTCGCCGCCCCCCCCCATGGAGCGGATCTTGGCTGTTTTGGGGGCGCCTGCTTCGAGCAGGTGGGGTCTCCCCCCCAGTGGGCGCCTCGTTCCAAACAGCCGCACGAAGCAGAGGTCCAGAGCCAGACACCCCTCCTCCCCCCCCCCTTCCGCCCACTGTCGAAACGCCGAATAAAAAAAACCCTCCTCCTCCTCCTCCTCCACCTCCTCCTCCTCCTCCTCCTCCTCCACCTCCTCCTCCTCCTCCTCCACCTCCTCCACCTCCTCCTCCTCCTCCTCCTCCTCCACCTCCTCCTCCTCCTCCTCCTCCTCCTCCTCCTCCTCCTCCTCCTCCTCCTCCTCGTCGACCTGCGCTTCGCCGCGAGCGTTCCGGGGGCGCCCCGATCGTCACGACCAGCCGGCGGGAGGCCCAAGTCGCCGTGGCGCGTGCAGCCGAGAGGGGGGCCTCCCCGCCCTGCTCCCCCCCCTCGAGGCGCCTGTGGCTAAGTCGGGCATGTCGCTCTACAGGGGGGATGTTTGAGGACGGTGGAAAAAATAGTCTGGGGACGATTTTGTCTAGGTTATTTTGTGTTAGCTATGTCGGGGTATGTATTTTTACTGTCTTTTATGTTTCCTCCAAAATCCGCCTGGAGGAGGACATGCCCGACCTAAGCCTACGGGCGGCCACCATCCAGGCATCAGGCAGAACATCGACACACCCGCCCAGCGCACGGTGCGCCCACGAAACGTCCACGATTCCACCAACCAGGCAGCAGGCCAAACCCCAACAGACCCATCCAGTTGTCCAATCACGCAGGTGAGATCCCTAAGTGCAAGCACTGTTTGGGGAACAAGGCGGCCTTATTGGAGAGTTCTGCAGGCGTGTTCACAATCTGAGCAGGCCTGTTGCCAAATTCGAGCGGCTCCAATTGGAATCCGATGCAGTCCGTTCCCTCCTAGCCTCCGTCGCCATCTTTCCTCAAGCGTTTTTCGTCATCCCCGAAATTGACGCCGGTGCTTAGTCTCGAAGACGGTGGCTAAGGATCGCCACCTCCGCGCAGCCAGGTCTCACGCATACAGTGTTCTCTTTGCCGCCAGCGGATACCACTTGCAATCACTGCTGCTCCACGCGCGACCTCACTCGCGAGTGCCAGCACAAACCCACAAACGTCAGTCGAAGTGAACGTCAACGTGGAAGCGCCCGCTTCATGGAGTCCGTGAATACGGCCACGGCACTGGCTGGTGACGACACCGCAGACAATTCGGCGCTGATCCGCGCGGCGGCCAGCTCCGTCGCCCAGCTCATCGTGGGACACGGGCCGCCAACGTCCACCGACAGGGACGATCCCGACGACCCGCTCGTCGAGATGGCGCGGCTGGACCCCGCCTCGGCGGCGCGCTTCGTCCAGCATGCCATGCTCACTGGCGGGCTGAGCAGCGGGTTGGTCGCGGTTGTCTCGGGGTCCCTCCTCGCAGTGCACTGGTCCATTTGGGCTCAGTGCGAGCGGCCCTTGCGCTGGTGGCTGCTCGCGAACTGCCTGCTGCAATGTGTCCAGGTACCCCTCCGCCTCGCCTTCTGGGCCAGCGTGAGGGCTGCAGAAAGCGAGCGCCAGTGCATCCCAGACCGCATCGCGCAGCTGGCAAGCACCCAGGCCTGGCGCGTCAGCAAGCTGGTCTCGCTGATGACCTACTTCTGGATGATCCTCGGCATCGTTTGGGCCATGAACTCGAGGGGCTGCAACACGTGCCCCAACCTCATCCCCACCGTGGTCGCGGTCTTGGCAACGTCCGCTGCCCGCGTGCTCTGCGCATTCATCGGCTTCCGGATGGCGTTCCCGCTGGCCGCCCGCGCTGCCGAGGCGGCGGAGATGGTGGCAGCGACCGCCGAGCAGATCTGCGGCCTGGATACCGTTACCCACGAGAGCGACGAGTCCACAGAGTTGTCGTGCGCGGTATGCCTGTCCGAGTTCTGCGACGGCGAGGCCCTGAGGAAGCTTCCATCCGAAGAGGGAAAGCAGCACAGGCATAAAATCGTCGGGCCTCCGCGCAAATTTCGTAGATCGGCGCTGGGCCACCCTGGCGGCGCCTCCAGCGCCGCCCCTGGCGCGCTCTGCGCGCCAGGGAGGGGGTCCATCGAGGATCCAGGAAATGCGCGCGGAGCTCCGAAAGTTAATGTTTGCGCCGCTGTTTCCTGCTCCAGCCATGCAACCACAGATTCCACGTGGACTGCTGTGACCAATGGCTCGCCCGCAGCAAGCGGTGCCCGCTGTGCATGCGGAACATCGACGAGGTGGCCGAAGGGCCCAAGACATGGGGCTTCTGCGATCGGCGCCACAAGCCGCACGCCCAGTAGAGTGCGGCGTAACCAGGTGCCCTTGCGATGTCTGCTGGTGATTCCGGCGGAAGGGGTCCGGGATTCGGATGGGGGGCGGCATGAGCAGGATTCGATTGCAGTTTTGGGGGCCTTGTCTGTCGTATGGACCGCTATCTGCGTCGAACCCATGTCGAATGTTGAACTCGCGTGGAGTCCCCGTCGAGTTCGAGTCGAGCCTGCGTCGGGTACAAGAAACGATTTCAATTTTCAGGACAGACGGGGTCTCCCGAAGATGCAGAGTAACACGGGAAAACCTCGAATAGAATGATTTCTCATGGGATTTGGCCCGTGGGTGACTGTTTGCCGACATCTAGACAGCGGCAGCAGCGTCACGGAGCGAGGGGGAGGGGGCTGCTGGGGCCTGTGGCAGGTCGAGATGCCCCGAGGCCGAGGCAACGGCTGCCCCTTCACAAACTTTCGGAGGTCAGCGCGGATTTCTTGGATCGGAGCCGAACACCCCTAAGTAGCAGCGTTTCCGGCGCCACCCCTGGCGCGCTCCAAGGTCCAGCGCCGACGGAGTAAACCCACGCAGACCTCCGAACGATTATGCTTATGCTGTCTTCTGGTTGCTGACTGAGGCAACGTCAGAGAGAATTCAAGATTGCACTTGCAGGCAAGCGAGCTTTTATAACTCTCATGAGCCAGCCCTCCTCCTCCTCCTCTTCCGATTCGTTTTCCGTCTGCTCTTCCTCTGACTCTTCCTCTTGAGGGCGGCAGTGTGGGCCAAGAGGCCGAATGGCAAGGCCCGTGCCGTCTGCAAGGCGCTTCGCCGTGCAGCGATATCGCCGCCCGCGCCGGCTGTTTCCCGCTCCCCTTCCCGGAAACGAGGGGGAGAGGGTTGGGGGGGGTCAAGTTAGCCAGCTGAACGAGCCAGAGGGTTCCGTCCACTCCCACCCGCCCTCCCACAACATAAAAAGCAAGTGCGTCGCGTCCGACGCCTGTCGCTCATCTTATATCGTGGGCGGCTAGACGTTCAGCGCGCAACATGAGCTGCGTCCTATTCCTGCCGCGTATTGAGCAACGTCGACGAGAAACAAGACCGCACGCGATGTACGCCGCGCCCCGCTCCGGCCTCTCATGTTGCTTCGTCGGCGACAACATGTCCAGCGCGCGAAATGCGGCGAACCGCACTTGCTTGAGGCATTACGACTTGCCGCCCGCCCAGTTCCTCAACCCGACGGGCCGCAGCGTCGACGACAAGAAAGTCCATGTTGACGAGCAGACGTCCCCATTCCCGCTACCGATTCGCATTGCCGACGAGGAGAAAGTACATGTTGGCAAGATAAACGTCGACGTTGCGGTGTTTTTTGACACGTAGGACGGGGGGTCCCGCGTAGGGTTGGCCAGGCGTCCGCGCGCGATGTGCGCCGCGTCAAATTCCTGCTACACTTTTCCCAGTGTCGACGACAAGAAAATCCACGCTGACGAGAAAAACGTTGAGTTTGTTTTGTTGTATGATCGGTGGGACGCGACCACCCGCTTGGGGTTACCCAAGCGAGGTTCATTCCGTCCTTTTCCGGCTACACTTTTCGCAACTCGACGACATGTGGGCAAGAAACAATGAGTTTGTGTTGTTGGTTGACAGTTAGGACGGCCGGGTTGTTATCGGCCGGCTAGGTGGGGATGTGGGGGTGTTTAATCACAGGAAGTAAGGACTGGGAGCGGGCGAGGGGAAGGGATGGGGGAGGGATAGGAAAAAGGGGCAGAGAGGGCGAAAGAAAATGGGGGGCAGTGGTAGGGGAGAGAAGAAGGGAGGGGAGAAAGAGGGAGTTCCCCCCCAAACCAGCTTTGCACAGTTTTATATGTCAGTTGGGCTGCGCCTTCTGCCAGTTGCACCTCGGGCTCAGCCGCACTGTAGCTGCGTTGGGGCGATCTCGAGGCGTCCTGGGGTACAGCAGAGCCAGGGAGCATCCTCGGGGCCTCTGGGGCCACGGTCGGGCCACGCTGCTGAGCCTTGAAGCTATTGGGGGGGCCTCATTCTGGCCCACCTTAGGGCCTCTTCGGAGCGCCTTGAGGCCTCTTTAAGGCACGTTGGTACGATCAGGGCAGCACATTGCGGCCCTTGTTGGCTACATTGGGCCGTCTTGGACAATCTCGTTTACCTTGGGACATGGTCGAAGGAAAACATGAGACAGACAAGAAACATTAAGAACCCTATGGGTGTTCAATGTGTTGCTGTTCTCTCTTGGGGGGCGTGCTGGGGCCATCTGAGAGGCATCGCTGGGGTCATCTCCGGCCGTTTTGGGACCTCCTGGCCCGCTTCGGGCCGTCTTGGGGCCGTCCTGGAGGCCGGCTGGCCCCTCCTGCCTGTCTGGTGGCATCCCTTATGGGCATATGGGGACGACCTAGCGCGGCCAGCGGGCCGAGGTCCCCCCCCCCTCTCGAGGCAGCTGTTTCCGCGGCGTGGACCCTTCCTGGAGCGCCCCGTCTGAACTGGCGCGGGTCTGCAGCACCGCCCCGTTCCCCACAGCCTCGTCATCGTGGCCTTCGGCCTCATTGCTTCCCCCTTTCTTTCTGCTCCCCTGTCGAAGGACAAATTAAACACATGCTTCTATATATATATATATACACACACTTACACACATACATATATATATATATATATATAAACTCTTGAAGGTATCTGTGGGGCTTGTGTCTATTGTGGGCGTGTTGGGGACATGTCTGGGGTCTTCGGACCGTCTTGGCCGTGATGGTTCTACCGAGCTCTCCCGAAGAGGCTCGGCCGAACCATCTTGAGCAGGTTGGCCGGGTCATGGGGCCATCTTGAAGCCCTCTTGGGGCGGTCTTGGGCCGTCTTGGAGGGTTCTAACAGCATTGGGGCCGTCTCGGGGCCTTCTACGGTCCGTATCAAGCTGGATTGGGAGTTTGTTTAGGCCTTCCGAAGTGTTCTAGGGCGATCTGGAGCAGTAGCAAACCGTACTGATTCCCGTATGTTTTTCAATGCTTTGGGCCACTTCGGGCCTCGTTGAAGGCCTCGTTGGGCGTCTCTTCGGGAGCGGCCAAAAGGGGGGCGATGACTAGGGGGGTGGATATCATGGCCAGGGCCGTGACATCTCACCAGATTTCATGGCCCCTCTTGTTATGTCAATAGGTTCCCTGGCCTCCTCCCCTGGTCCGCGCACATGCCTTGGGCCATGCTTTGCACCCCTCCCCTCTTGGACGCCCCCTCCATGGACGCCCCCG